GAGTAGAGAAGTAGAACATCTGGGTTCGAAAGGCTGGTGCTTAGCCGACTATTTTTCGTCGATTCAATTGTTTCAGACGCTATTAACACCGGGGTTGGTAAGAATTTTTAAATTTGCACCAATCTATGCATTTATATACCCGGTGTTACTTAGGGCGAGTTATAGGGGGGGGGGTGATATTCCCATATGCCAACATTGTTGCTTCATTTAATTGATTTCGATTCCGCCATGGACAGCGCAGAATGAACATTTTGCATAAGATACGTAAACCAACGCAATTACATCACTGATGTCTTTCAGACAAGCCCTAAAAAGGATTATCAGAGGTTTTCGAAAGTTTATATGAAAATAATTCGAGTGGAAAATAGCTACCTGGTTACATGGTGAGCATTGAAACGTTAAGTGGGATTAAGTGAGTAACGAATAATCAGTCGCATATGACCAGCAGTGACGCTCCAATTATCCTTTTCGTTTTCCTTTTTTTCTTCAGGAAGAGGGAAGCGGCCAATCAAACGGCTGCCACAAAACACATCAAGGGGAAATTTAGGCGATGATGGTGAGATTCGAACATAGGTAACCCTAATAAAAGTCAGTAATACTGTCGTGTTGTTCTGTCTAAAACAATCAGTNCAATCAGTAGTGCATTCCAACGACTAATGTTAGGACAAAAACCAAGCGTTACTACCATACACGACATTCTGCATCAAAGTCACCGACAAGGTGTTTTACAATGCCAAAACTAGTCGGCAACGGCATATCGTAGCATACCGGGTTGACTAACGGACGTTCGAATCCCACCAACGTTACCCAACTTAGACCTGAAAGTTTGAACAAGATTAGAATAAGCAGACAAGGTTTCCAGATATTAAACGCCAAATTTTGCCTCTCGTTGCACTGTGATGTGATGAAATATCAAGGAAAACCAATGACATTTAGTCCATTTTTCACGAAGCACGAATTCCACATTGCGGAGAGCTGGTTCCGAACAATACAGAAACATAAGACAGTCATGATTCGGTCATCTATGTTATTTTATTTAAGTCCATCAGCTGATCTGACTAGTCTGACTAATGTCTGGAATCCAAGCGGTAACACGCTTAGTCAGGAGTACTTAGTCACCGTTAACTGAGAGACGGAGATGTGATTTTGTTCACCAACAGATTTGGAAATTGGGCCATCTACGTTCAACGGCCTAAAAGATTTTCTACATCCACCCCGATGATTGGTATTCTGAAGCATTGCATTGGGACAAAGTAAGCCCCGGGGGTAGAAATCAAGGGATAATTTCTCGCAGAAAATCCAGATCGTTAGAGCAATCATGACGAACGAATGCGAACAAACTACACAAAGTGAGAATTGGGCATTTCCACTGGACAACAGGTAGATGATGGGCGAATCGGGTGGAATGCAACAGTAATAATGAAATGAGACATTTATTCAGGAGTCAAGATGCCGATTTATCACTCAGATTCTAGTAGGATGCCCGAAAACGAATCGAAAAGGATTGCATATACGCGATAGAAGTACCCAAAAACGATAAAACTTAAAAATTCTCGTGGATGAACGTGACCCACGAAGAATCGTATCGACAAACTTTTGCGAACAGTTATGCTTACATATCAGTCGATTAACCAAGATTACAGCATACAATGTATACAGTTATCGGAGTGATAGCAAGCATTTAACCAATCACAAGTGTATCATTTTCCAAATAAGGATACATATATCTATATATATATTCATCACAATAACCTCATTTGCAAAACCCGGTAAACTAGTTCAGACAGCTCTTTCAGAACCAGCCCATTAAAGAATCAATAACATGAGTCGATGTTTTATATGTGGGTTAAATGCGACTCACCGCAACAAACGCGACTTAAGCGGCTGTATGAAATATTCTAAAATAAGTAGTATATGAATGACTGGACAAAATTTCCCTGGAAGCACACGACCGGTTTCGCTGTTCTTGCCGCTCGTCAGGCATGTGTATCCGGTATTCTTTTGTCTTTTTATTCATATACTTGTACCCAGGAAGTGTATATTTTGTCACAGGTTTTACGGCCTGTGTAGGTTTACGTTGAGCTCATTTTCCGTTGTAATTGGAGTGTTCCATGCTGAATAAAGAAAGAACGGTTACTTTTCCCGGCATTTTGCCATTGTGCTGATGTGTCTCTATTTGTTTCTGCTCTTCGGACAATGAATCGTAAATATAAATCCCTTGAGTATCAAATTTCTGTGGGCATTATCGAACAATAAAATAGTTCCAAAGATACGCAACCAATCGAAGAGCGTACACAGGGAAGTATTGCGTTCATATTTGTCACACATGATCTAATTGAGTGAAAACGAGAAGTCGGATTTTGTGACTGGTTCGAAAAGGGCCGGGGCAATTTGTACTATCGAGTCGCATAGATTTGTTGAAGCATTTTGCCCCTTTAAGAAACTGTTCTCTCCGCTCTGGTGCTGAATGAAAAGAGTATGGAATAAAAACTGGGGTATGATAGATGAACATGGCAAAAAGGGAGTAGTGGTGGCGGTGGTAAGAAGAGCCAATACGTTTCAGTATTGGGTCAGTTCAGAAGAAAGGCGGCAATACGCCTCGCTATTCTGTGTGACAGGGAAGGACTACCAAATTACCATATTTCCAATTATACTGGATTACTTGCGAGAGCCATACAAAAAATCCTTAATGTTGTTATTGCTGTTTACCTCGTTACCAGTAAGACAACTTTGATGCACATACACACACACACACACACACTGTCCGGCTAGATCTGAATACAACATCCCGTATGGTCGATACGCGGAGTGGATGAGGCAGGGGAAGCTATACGAGTGGCGAGGCGTAGTACACTTTGGAGGATGGCGAATGACTCCTATAGATGAGGCGTCTAACCAGGTAATCGATAAGTTTCGGATCATACTGAAATGAAGAACTGAAAACATCCAATTCACAAACGAACACACACACACGCACACACGGAGGTGTAGCGTACTAGACAAGGCACTGAGATCCTGTCCGTTTTCTTTCTCCTCACGTTTTTGGCACACGAGCACATTGGCACGGGTTGGCAATTCAGATCACGCAGCGTTCGGTGAGATGCGCAATTGAATTTATGGGTTGTGGAAACTACGGCCGGTGAGTTTCGGCAAAGGGGAAGTAAATAGAAAACTGTAGAACCGATAAATTCTGTGGAAGAGAAAGAAATCTGTTTACATCAAACTCAAGAAATGCACGCTCAGGCATAAACGAGCCTATAAGCTGATGACTACAAATTTGCAAAGGTAACTGAACGACACCGACTGGAGCATCACATTTGAATAGTACCGTGTCAGCAGCATTGCGATAGTATGGTGAGGGGAGCAGTGCTGGGATTATGGCAAAGTTATTGCGTAATCAACGTCGAGCACTTGTGTTTAGTTTGAGTAGACTATCATATCTTAAGAGTGTCTACTCAAATCCGAGAACATATTTCCATGACGAGTGATATTTAACAAAACACACGGTGGTTAGAAGAGTGTCGCAGATGATCAGACTACCAGTGCTTAAAACAACAGTTGGTTAGTAGCTGCGGGAAAGCCTCTCATCAGTGGTCACCAGCTCGATAATCCCCTTGTTTCTGCTTTAGTTACAATAATAAACCCTTTAATCCACTCCCAGATGCCGTGAAAATCCACCAGTCATCTCTTTTGGCTCACCAAAGACTGCTCCCAAATGCGAGTAGTGCCCACAACACTGGTATTCAAACAATGTGTGCTGTGCATTACTGCACTAGTCTAGCGAGACTCGACTTGATAGAAGCATACTTACGCGTAAAAGTTTGCCCCTCATTGGCCGATAGGGCTGGAATACGTGTTGTGCATATCTCCGTGGAGGTATTAAACAGTTGGAAGAATGCCGGACTATACTTCTGAGTGAAGGTTGGAGTAACTTTAGGGGTTGAACTGGTTACATAAGTTGTGTCTAGCTTGCCCCGTTGATACCATGGTGTCGGTCAATTAACTGCTGGAGATACTGCATGATGAAACGGTGTTGTAAATAGTGACACCTTTGCAGCTATTCGTTCACTTTCACACATCTAGTTTAAGTGAGAGCTAACCAAGTCGAAACAACTTCTCCGAGCTTATCAGTTCACCTCTCATTTGCTGTTTACAAGGCCAAATTGACAAAATAAGCATCTAATTTGGCAAATATTTCATATCATTGTCTGCTTAACATCCTCGATCTATGGTCAATTCTTATTCGTTTTGTCGTACCTGAAGCAGATGAGTAATCGAAAGGGATCAGTCAGAATCGGGGCACGGTAGTGCGAGCTTGGAGGGTTCAATGATCCGACAAACCAGATAGGATGATACGCGACAAACAATTGACGTTTGTTCAGTTAATCCTGAGGGGACTAGGACTACTACGAGGTGAGTGAATTTCGAATCCGATGAACCGAGCCACTCAAAGTGAGAATAGGCGAACCAATCAATCAATGCACACAAACACGAATGCAGAACAAAACTGTTTGTCTATGTGGAGGTTTGCGTTTTTCGTGAACCGGGGAAGATGTGACTGGTCTGGGCAACACAGAATGAATTATGGACAGCGTGTTATTGTGTCGATTGTCGGAACTGAGGGAGAGAGACAGCATGCTCGCCATGCAGATGCACAAACGAAGCAACTCGAGGCTGCACTGAATGAAACAAGCCAATAGACAGAAGACAATCGGAAGGAGAGCGAGAGAGTTACTCACACGCAAACACACACACCATAAGGGTTCTCCAATGAACTAAAGCATCCAACTAGTGCCGATATTGGACAACCAAGTAAGTTTGTTTTAGTTGCTTAGACAAGCGATGAATGTAGGGGATAAGTTGAAAACTGCAACTGCAATGCGCACGCTCACGCGCGCGCAAACAAACACACACACACACACATCAGAAGGCGAGCAGGAACCAATCTCTTAAGAGAACAAGAGAAGCGAGACAGGGAGCAAGACAGAAATAGAAGAGACGATGAACGGTTAGACGATACAAACATCGTCGTGGGGGTGGGTGGATCTGCAGCAGAACCATTTCCCTCAAACACACACAGACGCGAATTTGTGTGGTTCTTACTTGTGTTTTAACGTTGGATTAGTTCAAACAATAAACTTTATATTCGCNTGCCAGGTCCTCGATTTGGAGTGGTCTCAAACCGAAGCAGAAAAACCTCGCCCTGTTTATAATGCAGGTGCGGGCGGGTGACAAGTATATGGATAAGACCAGACAAGTAATGAATGTATAGATTCTAGCTCGAATTTCGGATGACTGACAGTGGGACAATAAACAATGGTATATGGTATGGCCTCAGTGAGACTGAACAGTTGGACGGGTCTGCTTATTCTCACGTGCCAGCAATGTACCATTAGATTGGTTGATTGATTAACCGAATGGTATATTCAATTAATTTTTCTAAGAAGACCTTCACATTATAACTGGAATGAGGAAAAATGAAGTTTAGCACAGCTGGTGGTTAGTTTGATGTTACATACATTCAAGTCGAACAGAACAGGCGACGCGAGAGAGAGGTCTGNGGACAAAACAAGGATTAGTCAAGAACACCGGTTTTGCAATCTGGTAAGTAAATTACCACTAGGAAATATTGCGAAATGCAATGCCAAACGAATTGTAACGAGTGAAATAAGAACGCGTGAATGCAGGAAATATCGTTCAGCTAAGTGAAACACTGTAGTCAGTAACCACATAGTATCCGAATATACCACTGTATATATATCGGTTGTGCTTTCAGGGAAATTTTGTCCAGTCATTCACAAACTACTTATTATGAAATATATATTTAGTAATACGAAAAGATGCAGTACAGAATAAGAAAAAATCACACTTTACTTTCCTCACCGGATGTTGTTCACACTTTGATCATCACGACCACCTCGGTGATTTTATTCAGTGGTGTGGAGTATCCTGATCAAAAGCCATTAATCAATCATTCAATCGATAATTTGCTGCTTGAATGCGTACAACTTTATGCGGAATAGGGAACCTTGATCGAACAGTTCCAACCCAATTATGTATTCAAGTGAATTGATAGGCACAGATGCACATGCGCCTGGGAAGGAGCCCTCCCCTTCCCTGGCAGTAATCAAGCTGAAAAAATGACTGCATTTACGGTCCGCTGGTATCAACGGACGTGCTAAAAGTAACCTTGTTGCGAATCGATTACAAATGTTCCATTGTACGCAATGAAAGACTAAAACATAGTCACGTTTCATGCGACAGTCGGGAAAATTCTGACTCCCAGCAGTTGCACCTAGTTGAACCAATGATAAACTAACAAAGAGTGTAAGTTTTAAAAAGTGCGGTTACTTTGGATAATATTTAGAACTGGAAACGATACTACTTTCTTGTGCTTCTAACAGGTGACAAATCTGTGCTCAAAATTAATATGATGCAGTTTTTACGATGAACAGTAGTAAATCGGCAGCAGAGACATGGCACATTTGTCAAAATTTGATTTTAAAGGACAGACTTCTGGAAGCTGTTAAAATATTCTTGGAAAGTTTGATTCACCCGGCTAACTGTTAAGCCTTGGNTGGAAATTTATGAATCCTTTCACCAAAGATGATCTTTTATTTACATTTTATTATTGTTGTAAATGAGTTTTTTTCATTTTTATCCCACTCTAACGGTGAAAACACATTTGGACTGAAATGCAGACATAGTTGCTTGCGCAAGTCATTACAACACAAGTTTCGCTCTGCATTAGTGTCTACCCCATATGTGTAAAAAATCCAATCCAATACATGCATCTCTGCATTGCATGTAGATAGTCCACAAAACAACCAAATGGTAAACGGAGCATGGCTTCTATCAAATGGACACCGTTCATCGGGTGGATGAGCAATCAAGCAGTGAACACTTACATTCCGATTGTCGTACCATTTCGAGAGACTGTTTCACCGATTCCCGACTCAGATTACGAATGCTGAATAATTTGCGCATAAATCCGGACGAGCTGATCGTGAGGTTCCGTGAAGCATAGGTCAAATCGAAACCGCCATTGGAAGAATAATCGGCCGGCAGGGTTTGCGGAGATTTTTCCAGTCGGGCGGCTATTTTCCACAGCTAGTTAGTGGTACGGGAGTCGGCAAAGAGATAAAGAGGAAACAAGAGGTAAAAAACGAACGAGAACAGGGCCAAATAAATGGCATCCCAATTAGAAAAAAAAAGACAACAGGTTATGAATGTATGTATGCATGTAACCTATTCTGGGACAGACGGGAGAA